CAGGACGGATCGGCGGTCTCGCTTCTCGTCGCCGAGACGGACTTTCGACGATCTTTGCCGTCCCGTCCAATCCATCCATCAATCGCGCGCACGACAGAGTACACCTCGCCCATGATTCCGATGTCGATCCTTCAAACAAGAGAAAACGGGACCGACTGAACGATCGGTGTGCTGGTAAGTTTCCCGACGCTTCCTGATGGCACTCTGGCACCAAGTCGAAGTAATTTTCTTACGCTATGCAACTTCGCGTTGCCTAACTTAGCGTCGTCATCGGTCAAAAGTGCCTCGTTGCGAAACTCGTGACTTTCGAGGCGCGTCTCTCTCGTGGGCGTAGATCAGACGTTGTAGAAAGTGCCACGCATCGATGTGCCACACGATAATGAGACATTGCAAATATTCAAATGCAACATTAAAAATAAAAAAAATTAATTTACGATGGGGTTGTCGAAGAAACAATAAAAACTCGATTTAAAATCGAGTTAAAAGAAACCTGTCACCTGGATTAAAGAAGAAATAGTAGAAACAAATAGAGAAAACGCAGCGCGAATTTAGTACTTTTCGATAAAGGAAGATTCGTTAAACAGTGAGAGAGATCGTGCTTGTGACGAAACGTTGTTTTCTGTGTGTATCTTTACTTCTACGAATAAACGCCTTTTCCGAGACGAACTCGGAGGCGAGCTCGGCGAGTGAATCGTCTGGGCCGTTGACACCGTCGGTTCCTATAAATAAAGGGCGACCTACTGCATTCTAACACGATTCTGGAAGTTACAAAAATAACGAGAATCTCATCGCGTAGACTCGGGTATGAGATAAACGAAAGAGTTACGCGGCTGAATTTCGTGAAATTCCGAAAGAAACATCAAATAAAATATTGTTTAATGTTTCATCAAATAAAATTTTTTTTTCACTGTAAAACAGCGACAAACAAGAGCAAAGTGTGGCAAAAACTTTCGCGGAAAATGTCTTTTTAAACAACGTAATTTTTTCTTTGCACATTGATAAGCAAATCGCGTACAAAAGTAAGTTTTCTTTCGGCAACAAGAATTCCGCTCAAAATGCGACAAATGATGTCTTATTTTCAACAGAATTCTCCGCATATTGCTCTTCGCAGGCTCGCGAAGACAAGATCGGAATACGAATTGAGGGAAATGTGCAAGCTGCGCACGATGGAAGAGAGAGAAGTCCCTCGATAGTCGCGAATTATATTATACGGACACAATGCAATTGCGACGTTTTCGAGAAATTTATAAGAGAGAGAGAAAGACGAAGCAAACAAACGGGAACAGCTGCGACGACGAGTTAATGTACTTTTCGTTCGTATCTCACTGCAAACGAACGATAAAAAGCATAAATCGGATCTTCATCCGCTGCACCTGTTTCTTCTTCCGACGCAAGATTCGCGCGCGAGAAATAAGTTGTATCGGAAAGAACCGTACAATTCCGCAAATCGTCGCGATGACAAAATCTACGCGTGAAACAACGCACAATTGTTACTAAAAAAAAAAAAAAAACTTTATTGATTTTTACTCAAGTATTTATCACATTTTTGTCTCTCTCTCTCTCTCTCTCTTTCTCTCTCTCTATCTATCTATCTCTCCTTTTCTTTCTCGCGTACTTATTAAAATATGAAATCATATCGCGAACATTTCCGTACATATGCGAACTTGCGATAAAATCCAATCTTGTGGAAGCGACAGTGTCGAGTGAACAATATCAAAATGTCTATCGCGAGCAGACGTGATGATTGCTGTATAACAGAAAATTCATCTCGTTCGCGCTTTCCCGATACGTAATGGAATAAGGAGAGTGAGAAACCCGCTTTCGCCGGAGCACAGTATCGAAGACAAGAGGAGAAGCGACGTGAGGACGTATATAACGCAAATGGAAACAGGGAGATGAACGAGGAGAACCCGAGCGAGGAGAATGAAGAGTGTGAGAGGAAGAGAATAGCGTGTGTGTGTGTGTGTGTGTGTGTCCGGAGGAGGGAGAGATGCAGAATGTCTGGCTGCTGGTGGATCGATAGAACGGAGCTGCGTGATGGTCGGCTCTCGGAAAACCGATAGATGCCGGGAATCGCTGTGTGAATGAGACACACAGTCTGCATCAACGATGAAGGAGAGGAAATTGCGAGCTATCCGCGAACTTTCTACCGCATCGAATGACCGAGTCCGCGACAAATTTATACTTTGCGAGATAGGGTAATCGAACTTGCAGTTACTCCCTTTCTAATATAACTGGCACTTATTGATTTTGCTCCTAGTTATTAACGTTTTGTTTATGGTTAGATATTTAGAAATTTAATTTAGAAATTTAATTGTGTCTACGATTCTTTTTACTTGAACATTGAAGCAAATTAATTCGGATTTTTTATGGCAATAATTTTATTCTAGAATTTTTTAATCGACACTCGTGAAAACAACTCGACAGGTCTTTGAAGCGCCACTTATTGAGTTTTTTATCCTATATCTAATTTAAATAATACAATAAAAGGGAAAACTGTACAGATCAAAAAACATATCCGAGAGAGAGAAAGAGAGAGAGAGAGATTATTGAAAAAAGATTTTAAGAGATGTTCTCACTCTCTAAATTTCTTGGAGTGAACCTCCAAGAGTGAAAATTCGCTCCGAGATAGTGAAAATTACTGTCGAGTGGAAGTGGAATTTTCACTTCAAGAAATTTAGAGAGAGAGCAAGAGAAGATATTCTAGTGTAACGCGTTTGAAACTCAGTCTTTCAGTTCTTGAAGAAGAAATGCTTTCTCTCGACGATGGAAATGAAAAATTCCCGCTCCCACACGATTACAGCGTCCGACACCCTTCGGTCGTCAAAGCGGCGAATATAGACGCCGCGATAGAAACTTACAATGACGTCATACACATACGGAGTCGGAGTTCACCGGTCACTGAACTTCTTCCGTCACGTCGGTCACCTGACGTATGTGTGGCTTTTATTGTCCGCGTAGCAAAATTCCAGACGCACAAAGCGTCCCATTCGTGAATCGTTTAATGGCAATAACGCAATGCCTCGGTGTTAATGCACGCACGTACATAGGTAGTATCCTCGATGTTATCGTTGCGCAGAATCGATGCGTGCATCATCGACTAGATAGACGCGTTGCGTGTGATAATTTATCGCTTGTTTATCCTTGACGCGCACTAAATAATGCGTCGCTTTTTTTTTTTTTTTTTTACAATCAAAAAACCATTCGATTAATTTTCTCGTAACGAACACGTGAGCGTCGTGTAGTTAAATAATTCAATCACAATTTCAAGCAAATTTTTACAAAATCTTTTTTGTTATCAAATTCTTGTTCAAATTGTAGTCGGTTGCGATTCTGTCGGCGGTGTAATATCCAGCTTGAAAAGGAAACGTGCGCCACGGGCTTTTTTTTAATCGTTACTTCAAGTACATCCTCATGAAAAGCAACCTTCACTGCGCGCGGACGGTTCCGAAACCGTGTGCATCAAGAACTATTACGAGATACTCCTTTTAGTTTAAAACGGTCGCGGCGGAAAAACCTTGACCTTCTCAAGAGGTTTTGTTAAGCGCTTCGCAAGTTGAGATTTTGCGTCGAGATCGTCAAAAGACACGCAAACTGCATCGATCGTCCTACTCTTCCCACGTGCGACGGAGAAAAGATTCACGTAACACGCGCGCCGAAGGATTTCGCTTTTTCATTATTAATTAACATCTCGTTTTCTAAAGTCTTCGTGCATCTCGCAATATTCGTATTACGTCTACGTAGGTACGTTCTCGATGTTTGCGTGTGCATATAAGTAAATATATGTATAATATATACGTATATGTCAAAAAATAGAAAAACTTGTGTAATAACAATTAAGCCCTCTCCTGCAGATCTCAAAAATGACCTACAAGTAAGACAAACTGTGAGTCTGTGAGATCTACGCGACTTGAAAATCGAATATGTTAACATAAAATCAATATTTTTTCAATTTTGTTTTTTTAAATCAAAAGTTTGAACGATTCTGCGTCGATCAAAGGAACAAATTGAAAAAATCTTTAGTAGGTTTAAAGATATAAACGTTTAACAAAAAAAGTAATTTTTTTCCAGAAACGCCGAGGCACAATTTTTAAGGGGGTCTGAGAAACCCATGTCTGCAGGCGAAAGGGTAAATTAATAATTAATTATTAACTTGGTAATAATAACAAAACAACTTCATTAGTGTAATTAATTATTAATAATAACAATAAATTACTAATAATTAATTTAATTATCTTAATTAATCTAGTTAATTTAATAATTAAATTAATCTAACACATAATTAATTTCAGAACAAAATCCGCTAAGTTTGGGGTTGACCTTTTGTGTACTCATTGCTTAAAGTCTAATCCCAAAACAGAACTTTTAAAATTGTTATATAAGCGTAAAGATATATTTGTCGAATATATTTGTAAATATGTTCAGAATATACCCATACATAAACATAATACAGAAAAAGTGAGGGTAGAGGGTAAAGAGAACCGAAAACCGCAAACTGATAATACACACCGGCGCAGCTTTCGTTCTTCGCTCGCAAAACATACACAAGAAAACAACGTATACAGGGAATACACATGTAAACAACTTTTCATGTTACCTCATGTAACGTGGAAAAGATATATATCTAACCCGCATGTGGTACAAAGAGCGAATCGTCTTCGCAGCCCCTCGTCGAGACAAAATCAAGCCACTTTCAGTGCGCATGTCAATCCCACGGGACACTAGTCACATTTGTGTATAAAAAAAATTTACCGTTGTATAATAATAACGCAGCGCCGAAAATTAAATCGAAACAGAAAACAAACGCGTTTTTGACGAGAGAAGATAATATTTCGAAGATTTTGCGTTCGCGCGCGGATTATCGCGGTAAGTAATCGCGGCGAGCGATTGGCGAGTGAGGAAAAACATAAGATCTCGCGGCGCAGCGAAAATCTCGCCGACGTTCGGGAGGACGTGGGGGAAGAAAAAGAACGTAGTCAAATCCTCAGGCACTTACTTACTTGGCGGCGACATGTCCTAGCTGACAGGACGAGTCATCGCTGTCGTCGACGTTTGTCTCGGCCGTGGGGGGATGTGCCGCGGCATGGCTCCCGTTGTCACCGGTGCCCTCCGGATTCGCGACGAGTTTGTACATAGAACAATTGTGCACTTACGGCAACCACTCACCGCGATGCATCGCTGCGAACGCGCGCGAATACGCCGATTTTTCGCGCCGCGCAAATTCACGAACGAATAAATCACGCTGAATTTAACACACTGGTCACCTGTGTCAACCCTAACGGAACACCGAGCGAGCGGGTTCGCTGCGCTTTCATCCGCTTCGAACACGCGCGCCCTCCCGCTGCTCACCACTCAACAACACGACGACCGATTGACGTTTGGCACGGACGTTTGGCGCGAAATGTAGGAACTGCGTGCCATCTCGTGGCGCTCCGCCCAATCAACTGCATTACCGTCGCGCGTTGCCACGACGGTAATGCAGTTGTCTATCGTACTACTGAAAATAATATACGAAATTAGACAAAGTAAAATTAAAGTTTCCGAGAGAAAAACTAGAGATTGATTTCAAAAATTAAAGAATTTACATCAAGAACGTAAAAAGGCGAGTACGAATGAAAATAATCAATCTCAAATTATACAATTTTAAACGTATTTCACATAAACTATTAAAAGAGAGTAAAAAAGTTCTTTGTTATAAAACTTTGGCGCAACACAAAAACCAATTCTTAAATCTCATTTTTATCTTTAAATAGTAATTGAAAAAAATAATTACTGTTATCTTAAAGACGCGCTAAGATTCGATAAATACTTATTTTTCGCTTTTTGTTTGTCGCCGATGATTGAACTTTTGCGCGATGGCATCGACAGGTGTTGATCAAAAGAAGATAATGTGTTTGCCTCCGATATAAAATTTGAAGTCAGAAATAATTAAGCAAAATGTAATATTTATACAGTAAAACTCCTGTAATTTTAAGCGCGATAAGTAGAATCGATTCGCTCTAGAAATCGAAATTATTTCTTTCCCCTTCCAACAAGCGACCGATTAATAACAAGATATGAAAGATATGCGTTTCTCTTTCTCTTAGACTCTTGAAGCAGAAAATAGACGTCCGTTCTACGAGTTGCGCAGTTACTTAAAGAAAATATTGGCCGCCTATAAGAAAAGTCGAAATCGCAATGCTCGAAATTACTGGAGTATATAAACAAACGCGAAAATCCTTTCTCAACGCTAAAATATATAAATAACTTTTAAGTACATATATAAATATATTACAAATCATTAACTCATTATAATTTCAAATCATTTATAAACAACTATGTGGAAATGTGTAATCGCAACAGAGAGACAATTTATTCCCAATTAGTTTATTGATCTCACAATGTATACAAAGGTGATATGTATCGCTATAATATAAAACCACACAAAGTCGACTATATATTATAAATTATATGAATCACTGAATGATATTGCACGGCCCGCTCAGTTTTGTTGAATATTATTATCGTTTTGATCGCATGTTATATTTTAACTGTTTTATATTGCAAGAAAATTATATCTTCTATATCCGTGTAAGTCTCATAATCACACGCTTCGATGCAGAAGTAAACGTAACGCGCCGCGGTTCGCATCATGTTGCAATATGTGAGCACGTTATAACGCCGGTTGCATCATTTACGTTTACAAGTCTTATATTTGCGAGGAGCGCCGTAATAATTTGTATTGATAACAAATTAATTATTCGTGTGATTACACATATTATATAATGCACGTGTGTATATATATATATTATATAACGTGTGTGTGTGTGCATGTGTATATATATATATATATTTATATATACATGTATAGAATATCGATTTACACACGTGACTTATATGTATTATTAAAACAAGTTCGTCGAGGTAGCTGGCGTTTCGTTAATATCGATTGCACATTTTTTTATAATAGCACACAACACTGAAATTGTAAATTTACTACTATCTATTTTTTCCGAACTTTTTTTATTCTTTCGGATGGATCATTGCGGCTGTATTTTCACGCGCGAATGATCTCTTCGCATTAGAGAACAACAACGCAAAACAATAAACAATCTTTGAATATTTATTTGTTTGTTACTTGAAACAATTTTGTCGCTACCGACACTTTGTGCATTGATTGCACGCAATTGTCACAATGCAAATTAGATACATGTGATATTGCGCGTGTGTACGTGCGTGCGCGTGTGTGTGTGTGTGCGCGCGCGCGGATCAAATATGACACTAACAATATAAAGTTAATAGATTCGCATTTTATATTGAAATAATCGATTATCGACAATTGAAATGAATAAATCAACAGCACATGCGCGCTCATTAAAAAAAATGAAAAAAACGTTCTTTCGCGAGATATTTCTTGTTACTTATTTCTATTGCGCGTTTTGTCAGTAATCTCCGTACTTCTTTACAAGTTAAATGTAAAGCTACTCAACGGTCGAGACTCGACGGTCTCGTTTAAGGCACTTTTAAAGCACTTGATAGAGTATACGCGTGTTTTTTTTTTTTACTTCTCCTTCTTTGACTCGTCCGCCTCGATCTTTTCTTCTCCCTTCTCGTTATCGCCTTTTTCTTTATTGTAATTTTCCTCCTCCTCCTCCTCCTCTAAAAGTTTATTGTCGTCCAGATCCGCGTGCTTCTTCAACTCCTCGTCCAGCAAAGCGTCCCAATCGGTCATGTCTTTGCCGTCTTTGACTCTCTGCAACTCCCGCTTCAGCATGTCCAGACATTCTCTTCGCTCCTTCCACTTCTCCGACATCTCGAGGTTCTTCTTCTCGTCGTCAATTGACTCCAACATTTCGGCCTTCTCCTTCTCCTCGCACTCTAACACGTATTTTTCGTAACTGTCCACCTAAGAAGAGTCAAATCATGTTGCTCTAAATCGACAGCTTCTTTTTAAAAATGCAGTTTTAATTAAACTTGATTCAACAAATCTATTTTAATCTGATGTTTGATGCTCTCGCGATGCGTCATAGAAATTCTTAAAGATGATGTCTTCGGATTTGAACCGCGTTAGTGTCAATTTTATACTGACGTTTTAAAAATATCAGGTTCAAGCGTAGACGCGGTTCAAGCCCGAAAACTATTTTCAGGAAATCGAGTTTTACTTTTACCTTGTCCTGCAACATTTTTTGAACATCGTTTTGTCTCTTCAGGTGTTTCGGCAGCCAGAAGCAAGCCTGTATGAGACGCAGGAATATCCAAACCGCCCCGGCGAGCGCCAAATACGAGCAGGCAGTGAACACCATGTTTGTCATGTCGACAGCTATTTGTTGATGTTTCATTACGATAGTTTAATCGATTTAAATTTGCCTGTAATGTGACACAGCGAAAGTAGAAACCAAGTGCGCCATTAGTTATCAGATCGAATAGCGCGGTCAAATTCGTGTTTTTTTTTTTTTTTTTTTTCACGTTTGTCGTAAGCCTCAGCGTTAGTGTGTTAAACAAGTATATCACATTCACGGTGCATTTGCGACTCGACTCGAAGACGATTACATGTAGTGATAAGTGACCTACTGCCGGGTCTTGCTTCAAACATACTACCGAAAGATTGAAAAACCCGGACATCTCTCTTTCTCGCGGTGAAATTCGCGCGCATTCGGGTTGCCTCATTTTGATAACGTCGAAAACGCCGCGACGGAAACGAGATGTTTCTGCTTCGGCGAACAATGAAATGTGACTTTTTTTAGCGAACAGTGCGAAGATGCGCCGCGATATCTATTTATTGGTGCCGCGAACGGCCTCCGGAGTGTGTATCGATCACGTTCAGTGGAGCGAATATATATGTGTACAAAGTTGAAAATTTCTAAGGATTCAAAACGTGCGAAAAAATAGATTAGATAAAATAGATTTGCACGTCTCACATTTGTATTCACTTATCGTTAGCCAAAGCTGCATTGCGTGTTAGCACAATTTGAGATTTCGATCGTGTGAATTGTTCGATTGTGCTTCACATCGATACACGTATACGTGTAGTTTTTTTTTTTTTTTATACACGGTATATATATTATGTTTTAGCTCTGTTATTATACTTACCATGTGTGACAATAATAAATTCGATGGTTATTAATTAAGGACGAATGTGTCACGTTGCAAACTCGGAAATTATGCGCACACAAGAAAAATTGAAGAAGAAAAATTATTAAGAAATATTTCAGGAAGCATAACTAAATAATATATATAAATATATATAATATATAATATATGTATATATA